AAAAGATTTAATATTTAAGAAGGGTGCATGTCTATTTTGCTTGAAGAAAAAACACATTTCTCGTAACTTAAGTCAAAGGTTAAGTGTTTAATCTGCCAGAAAAGGCATTTGGCAGTAATTTCAGACAATGAGAAAGCCTTCTTGCAAATTGGTATATGAGAGAAGGATAGAGATTATTTAAGTTTCTTTTGGAATACAAAAATTTATAGACATTGTCGGGTGATTTTTGGGCTTAATTGTAGTCCGTTTTTTTACCCGCTACGTTGAACTATCATTTAAATCGTGCCCCACATTAGTTTGCAGCTACAGCCAATATTTTGAAGGAGTCCTTCTATGTTGATAATTGCCTGACTAGTTTTAAGAATGTTGAAGAATTGAATAGATTTGTACTAGAATTGAGAATGTTAATTCCACTGGGAAAGTTTAATCTTAGAGGATGGGGCAGTCGAATTGTGAAACCGAAATAATTCCCAACTCTAAATTAGATACACATTCGTTTTTAGGGTTTAAACTGGGATTTGAAGGATGATACTCTTTCCTGTAAAATTGAGTCACTAAAGAAAGAGGAGATTGTCGCGAGTAAACGAACACTCCTTTCTTGCGCGCATAAGTTATTTGACCCAGTAGGCTTCCTTTCTCCCGTTACCCTGTTCCCAAAGGTGATATTGCAAGAGTGTTGGAAATTACGATTAAATTGGGATCAAAAATTGCCAGAACATTTAGAAAAGAAGTCCATACAATGGGTAAAGGAAATGAAACTGCTGTCTGATGTCAAAATTCCTAGATGGCTTAATATTGACAGATCGGTTAACGAAGATGTAAGTCTTCATGTTTTCAGCGATGCCAGCAAGCATGCCTATGCTACCTGTATTTTCTTAAGAGTGAAGACCGAAAATAAGGTTTATTTAAATTTTGTGCAAGCACGCACTAGAGTTAAGCCTTTAAAGAGTATATCCATTCCTCGTTTGGAATTATTATCCTCCTGCTTAATCGGAGCACGCTTGGGACGTATGGTCTTTTCAGATTTGAACATGCCAAATTTAAGAACATTCTTCTGGACTGACTCAACAACCGCTTTGTGCTGGATCCAGCGAGACGTACGGTGGGGAACTTTCGTTTGGAATCGTGTCCAAGAAATCAGAACACTTACAAAAATAGAAGATTGGCATTACATCCCTTTCGGAGCTGAATGCCGCCGATCTCCCTTCTAGAGGCTGTTCAGTTAAACAGTTTTTGCTGTCGAAATGGTGGGAGGGCCCATCATGGCTGTTAGAACCAGAATCGTCATGGTCAAGAGGCACCGATTTGCCGGACGAAGAGATCATAAATTCAGAAAGGCGTAAATCAGTATTGACAACTCTTAACAAAGATTCTAAACCTGACAATTGGTATTACAGGTACTTTTCATCCATAAAGAAAATTGTACGCATGTTAGGTTGGATTCTTAGGTTTTACTTTAAATTACGAAGAATTACAAACGAAACCTCCAAAACTTTTCAGTTTCGTAAATTGAAAGAGCTGAGATAACTCTTATGTTATTGGTTCAAAGAGAATCATTTAAGAGTGTGAACGATGATAAAATTAAAGACCTCAGACCTATAGTTGATCGTGATGGTTTGATCAGAGCTAAAACCAATATTTCTTATCGCGACGATACTGATGACTTTAAGTTTCCTGTCATTTTGCCATCTGATCATGCAGTAGTAAAATTACTAATAATGAATGCACATAATGAGCTGCTGCATGCTGGTACTTCTATGGTGATGTCTCATTTGCGGGAAAAGTATTGGATCCTCAAGACTCGTAAGACAGTACGAAACTGCATTAGAAAAATGTGTGAAATGTCAAAGATTTAAATCCAAAAGTTGTGACATAACTCCAGGAATTTTGCCGAAAGATAGAGTACGTGATGCAAATATTTTTGAGATAGTGGGTGTCGATCTGGCAGGACCCCTCTACCTTAAAGATGGTCGAAAAGCTTATATTGTTCTTTACACATGTGCGGTCTATAGGGCCATTCATCTGGAGTCAGTAACATCCTTCATCCTTGACAACTGAAGCTTTTTTTTTCCAGTCATTGAGACGTTTCATTTCTCGTCGCGGAAGACCATCTATAATATACTCAGACAATGGCAGTAATTTTAAAGGAGCGGAGAGCCTTCTGCATACAATTGATTGGGAGAGTCTGCGATCAAAGGCCGCTGAGCAAAGAATTCAGTGGAAATTTATTCCTTCCTTCCGCACCTTGGTGGGGCGGTTGGTGGGAACGTTTAGTTCAAATGGTGAAACAGATTCTGAGAAAAGTTCTAGGTCGTGCTGCCCTGGATTACGAGGAGTTGCTTACAGTACTATGCGACTGTGAGAGAGTAATCAATACTAGGCCACTTACCTACGTGTCGGAAGACGTTGAAGATTCATCCCCATTAACTCCAGAAATGTTCCTGCGGGAGATTTCCAAATCAGGAGTACCTGATATCGATACAGTGGATAAGGAAAAACTGAGTAAACGAACTAAGTATCTACAAAAGGTGAGAGAACAACTTAGAGCAAGATTCCATGTGGAATATCTAGGACAGTTACGTCAGCAGTCCATTAAAAACTCTATAGCTAAACCTCTCCTGGTGGCTGAAATTGTTGTACTTGAAGATAACAACAAGAAACATGCTTTTTGGAACCTGGCGCGTGTCATAAAACTGATACCTGGTCGTGATGGACAAATAAGACTTGCTCTTATAAAAACAGAGACTTCTGAGTTTCTAAGACCGCTACGTACTGTACTATTATGCATATTATACTTAACAGATGTGTGAATTTAAATCCCAGTAAATTCAGGTGGGAGGAATACGATGGATATCCAACAGATGGCAGTATCTGCCAAGCTTCTTTGGTAATTGTCAATGTGCATGCGCAACCGGAGTGTAGAAGAAAGTATGTTATTAAGAGAATGAGCTTTCGTTAAGAATGTTGCTGCGCGTTTTCGCTGTGTAAATAAAAGTATATTTTTGTAACATGGATGTTCTTTACTCTCTTATGCGAAACACTAGGTTAGTGCACGAATCTGGACTGATTCAGAATCCATTTTCAAACAGTGGATCACCACACAAGTTGTTCAACAAATCCATGGAGAATTTTTCTTTAATTAGGGAGGTGGGTTATATGTTTTTTCATAATCACACTTAAGCTTGATACACTTAATTCAGATTACTTTCAAGCTTCCCTCCATTCAGTATAGTTTTTCCCACTTTGCAAAATAGGGCACTCTCGATTATTCGGGTGTAGATTATTCCGTTTTGTGGATTATCCATGCATGGCAGTGCCCACACATGCATACTCTATACTATGCAGAAGAGTGTGCAAAAAACAATGGATGTTCTAATGTTAATTTAATTCTGACTGTCAAATATTACCAATTTAATTCAGCCGATGGGATAAGGTGTAATATCATCAGTGATTTAATGAAGCACTGGAAAAAATGAACTATTGGATCTATATATGGAGTAGCCAAAACTTGGTCAAAAATAAAACCAATAGCACTACTTCAATCACAGAGAAAAACTCTTCCTAATGTACAAATCAGAGATTTATCTAACTGTGAAGAAATTGAGGAAGTGGTATGCAAAAAAAAAAAAAAAAAAAAAATTGAAAATGTAAAATTCTTAAAAATGTTGATTTGGAAAATATCGAGAAATGGTTTGATGATGATTCAACTGAGCTGGGCTTTGAATGCTTGAGTGATGCAGATATTGTTCCAAATGTCACAAGCATAAAAAAGTCAGACAGTGGTACTGAAAATACAAGCAAAAAAGATACTAACAATTACATTAGTCCTTAGATAGTAATGAGTTCTGCTGAAACTCTATTGGACTTTGCCGACCAAAAGGGATTAGAATACATTGATAAAATAGCATTTCGAAAAATATATAGTGAAATTCAACAAACATTTAAACATTCTCAAAAACAAAGGAAAATTACCTATTTCTTTAAGAAATACACACATGGAATATGCACGAGAATTGGTACTTTAAATTATCCACGTTTTTCAATTATGTGTGACCTATTTCTCCGGCATTAGCTCTCAACGAAAACACACTGTACTATCTTAGGTACTGAACATACATTACTGGGGCTTTTGTTTCACTAATTAAACAAAGAAAATATTTTTATTGAGCAAAGTGTTCTCTATAGTCCCCATAACCAATTTTAAATTTTGTATATTTTCATTAAAAGGTATATGTCAACCAACATAGCTAACATAGAAAGTCTGACTACCTCAATATGCTTCTTGAATTATACATCTGTGATCAATTGCACAAAAAATATTTAATCACATACTCTTTTTAACATTTTGCATACAACAAGAAAATCTTCTATCTAGTATATAATTAAAAAATATTTTTGATCATGACAAATTTGGAAGTAATTAAAGTTTTCAGGTCTAATTTACATGGTATTTAAATTCAAAGCAAAAATTAATAACTCTATTAAAAATTTCATTTACTTCACATTTTTATTCCATTAAAACTTTAAACAACAACCAAAGAAGCAAATCTCTTGCCTGCTTAAAATTTGGAATAGTACAATATTTGAGAAAATATGAAACAAATTCACTATTACATTTTTTAAAGCTCTCCAAAAGAAAGGCTGAATTAAAGTCTTAAACTCTCACAAATTTTTTTAAATAATATGACATTCTAAGCACAATTAAAGATGTTTACATAAGACCCTAAATGAGTTTTCAATGCATTATATTTTTTAATAAAAAATACATGTATACAATGTAAGTATATAATTATCCATACTAAAAGTAATACACACTGAATATATTTTAGTTAATTTAATACAAAATAAATCCAAATAATAAAAATGAAATAAATCTCGAAAACTAAATTATACACATTTGGTGAAAAATATATTTACATGGTTAAAATAGAACATATTCAAGCATGCACAGCCATTAAAACTCAGTAAGGTATTTTAATCTGAGGTAACTCATATTAAAAAATTAAAATTAAGTTTTATTCATTGGAACATAGCTCTGAAAAAGTGTTAACAGAAATACTCACAACATCTGCATTGGTCTGCCCAAAAAGTCCTTCTGCAAACACAGCAACAACAAAAATATTTATAATGAGAGAAACAAACAAAGCTACTGCAGATTCAATGAAGAAATACATATTAGCTTCTCTGACTTTTTCTTTGCACTTTCTGTCAACATCTCTAGACTAAAGAAAGAGACAACAGATATTAAAAATGTGCATAATTATAATCTGTTTAAATTAACACCAAACTCATTCAAATGCAATGTATATAAAGTACAGATTCAATAAATTTTCTTGATCAATCATAATACCCAATTAAGAAATTAAGTTAATATAGTACAGAAAAACACCGACATATTTTTTTTTAAACATTTAAACAGAATATTATAAATGAACAATATTGCATTAATAAATAAGCCAAGTAAAGGAAGAAATCTAAATAGTAATTAAACAACAGATGTTATACTGTATAACAAAAGTTACAATTATTTAATTAAAAGGTTACATTACAGTCATATCCCTTGTATCAACAGTTCACAATAGAGGACAAAAGTCATCTGAAGTTTTAAAATGTACGTCAAGTGATAAACAATACATAGCTAACTACACTAAAACAAGTTAAACTGAAAACACAGTCACTAAAGCAAGCAAAGCACAATATGCCTACAGTAATCATAACTGTGTGCATACATTTTCTAACAGACGTAACTTAATTTTTAAGGGTTGAAAATGGTCATTTCAGAAATTCTTGTATATTCTCATGGCTACAGGTCACTCCTTAAAACTGCACATTTTTTAACAAAGTCCCTCCCCCCATGATGGCTATATATGTTTGAGCAGGGGACCACAGTTATCAGTGGTCAGATCTCTGCCTTCATGTTCACATTTTCCTGTTAAATTTTTCTTAAATGGCTTTTAACAATCTTCCTGTTTTCATCAGCAGTAACTCTGAAACATTTTATTTACAATAGTATGGCTTCCAAGCATAAAAGTAATGAGAGTATCAGATCTTAACTTGATGAGAAACCGCGTCTTATCTACCAGTTAGAAAACAAAAATTTTAGAGAGAAAATTTTGCATTACTGTACAATATATGAAGTGAGGTAACGTACACATATATTTTATTATTATTACATTTATGAATATTACATAGATATTCTCTTATACATTCAACTGTTATCTGCGTTATGTCCTGGATTACCCATGGATACAGATGCACTACTGTATTTCACTTTAAAATCTCATTAATACTGACAGTTGACTGATAAGCTGAAGGCTAATGTTTCTATTGTTCACGAGTTTGAAGGTAATGTAAATCAGGAAAACTAAAATAATTACATTCACATGTTTAAAATAAAATTGAAAATAAAAAGAATTACATTACTTTTACAAGAGCAGAATGAAGGTATAAATTGTGTGGCATAATAACTGCTCCTATAATACCAACTGCTTGCAAAAGAGCTTTATTATCACAATGTGAACACCATGGCACAAAAAGACCTTTTACAACTTCTCCTTGGTCTGGCATAGCCGTAAAATACTACATTAAAAAAATAAACATATTACATATATATAAATATATGTTAATCAAACAGACATATTAGAGATATGACACTTTAAATTCCATTCATTAATACTAAAAATTACATTTTCATTTTGCATTATTAAAGAGGCAGGCTATGCTGGCTGAAGACTTCTCACATAGAAATTTATGAAAGCTTTAAAAATTGATGATATATGTATATCCTACAAAGAAAACTAGAATTTTATAACAACTAAAAATTCAAACCCATATATTAATATGTTTTCATTTTAGATTTATAAAATGTACATAATTTAAAATTATGTTTTAGAAAATTGAGATAACTCTCTTTTATAACCACAACAAGGAAAAAAATATACAAATTAATAAAATAATTACATCAAAATGATATAATTTTTTGAGATGAGGGGAATAACATAAGGAGGGATGAAAGGAAAATTCTTCAGCTTTTTCCTAGAAAATCCATTTATTACAGTTGAAGCACAAGTATTAGTTTACCTTTCTAAAACAGAGAAAGATATGTTTCTCTAACAAAAAGAAAACTCAAATACTGAATGAGGTCTCTTAATAATACAGGCAAAACACTGAATTCAAAAATCAGAAAAAGAAAAGGGAGAGGAAATTACATTTCATTATTTCTTTCAAAGAAAAATACAATTATTTAGTATTAATTATACAGTTCTTAGTTTATCATCTCTAAGCAAAACAAACTGATAGATCATAAAACTGCTTCTCAATTTTTCTCATTCAGATAAACAATTTGAATACCTTCCTTTAACTGCAGAAAGTTGCACAGTTTTTGATCAGTAGTACCTTAAAGTTGTTTTTTCTTCTTTCAAGGTCTATCTTCCCCAACAAAGTTTCTGATGGACTTAGTAGTGCATTACCATTTTGCAGAAAGACACTTAACAGTTACAAACAGTAAAAAACTGTCTGTCCCTTCATAGGAGGTAATGGTTGCCGCCTATTAGTCGTCTCCACAATAAAATGGTCCACCACTTTATTGTGATGGGCCTTAGGAGTGGCCAATGTCGTTATAGGCAAGTGCCCGCTATTGGGGAGAACAAAAAAAAGTTACAAACTTCCATGTCTTCTGGATTTGAACTCGGGCTTAAGACTATGGCAGCCGGCTTTCCTATAACCATGCTAACAGGACATCTACACCTAATATAATGAACTAAAGTCTCAATTATAACATAAATCAAGATGAATTATCACAGGTAATTGGGAATGTTGGATAAAATGAATATTTCGCTGAATAGAAAGTGATCACATATCTTATACAGAGATGAACTTGATGCTTTGCAGAAATTACTATCTAATTAGCATCTTGGCCAGAACAGCCAGTCAGTTATTCTTAGAACTCACATTTACACCCCATAAAATTCATTCAACAGAAAAATTACAAAATATTTAAAAACAGCAAATCTTTAGAATTTCTGACATGGCATGCTATAGATAAAAATATACAGTGCTCTTTTCAAATCGCTGAGTTACTTAATAAAAAATGCATTCAAGTTTCACACAATATGAAACATAAAATTCAGGCTTCCAGGTTCCCATGTTCAGGTGAAGGCCTATGTTATTCAAAATCTGATGGCTCTAGGTACCATTGTTTTCTCAGAGTGCAAGGAACACACATGCAGATTCTTCATCGTTTATTTAAAAATAATAAAGGACAATAATATTTGGTGGCAATAATTAAGTGATACAACCATTTATTCAATGCAAAATTTTGTTTTGAGACTAATAGCCCATTTGGATTAATGTTCTTTTGGAGTAAAAATATTAATGTAATAATAACTGTATTAATTTTAACAGTAGTAGTAAAATCAAAATAATAATGATTTTTGGTATGAATTAATTTTCATGGTATAACAGCAGATAAACAAAATATTGGATAACAGATTTAATAATCAGGACTTCAGAGTATTTAAATATTTGAATTAAATTTGAAATAATAATTATTAGATACAAGTCTAAAAAATGTAAAATTCTAAAAATATTAGATTTTTTAAAAACAAATAATTTAAGAATCTGACTGCTTTTAAAAACAATAAAATTGATTTAAAAAATTAAATATTTTTTAAATATAAAACATACCTCATAACCAAATGTAATAGCCATTATTGATATGAGGAAACCAAAAAATGTTTCTAGTTTTCTTAAGCCATATTTATCCAGAAATAGAAATGTAAATGTATCAGCAATAGTTATTAAAACACCAGCATAGAGTGGTATCCTAAAAAGTAAAATATATAACTATAAATAATTTTCCAAATAAAAAACTCCTTATAGCATGCTAAAATATATCAGAAGTCACAGAAGGTTTTTAAGGACATAAATTCCATTTAGAATTCCTCACGTTATTAATGGGAAATAGTGATTAAAATTAAGTAATTTCATAAAAGTTGCTGAACTACCGATACCTGAATTTTAAATAAGTATACAATGTATTACTACCACGCATTAATACACTTGGAGTTTTAAAATATACAAAAAGAGAGAGCTGCCTTTTAAAAGTACTGTTGCATTCTATGGGTTTGGGGATTTGGATTGATTGATGACAACACTTGACGAAGAATCAAAACACAATTTATTCGTCAGTATTATACAGGACTGTTTCAAGGACACATTATAGTTTTCAAAAAACTATAACAAATTGCTGAAACAATCAGCAACACAGCCTTCAGGCTATAATGGTGAAGACCGCTTCACAGAAAAGCACTAAAGTGCAGCTCCTAACTTGATCATTCTCAAGCTTATCTCTGAACTCAAAGCACAACTAGTGAACTCAATACACTCAAGATACTTTTTACAATAAACTCAATACACTGCTACTTTGTGTACAGGCAGGGTTTATATAGCTTTTGACTTGGCTTTGAGAACATTCTGGGGAAAACTGGTAAGAATTCGTTCTAGAATGTTCTTGCTCCATCTATGGCATATCCACAATTTTGTTGCCAAATGGGCAATTCTGCACCAATTCTGGTAACCCTGTGTTTCCCTGCCATTTTATGGACCCCTTAAACCCGCTTACCGCAGCTGGGCATTTCGCAATCATACATAGATGCCTCAGTTTTAAGAAATCAGTCCCAGGGATGACAAGTACATTAACAATTCTTTTTCAAATACAAGGTACGACAATTCAATTCCTGAGGTACACCTTTAAAATATACAGGTTAGACTCTTCACTAATGGATACTATCATTTCAAACCTTTATGCCTCTTTTGGAATGACAATCTCAATTATAAAAGCAGGCTTAGAACTCATTTTCCCAAATACCATTAACAGTAATATAGATTGTTTGCTACTATTTATATCAGAAAACTTGACACTTATAACCAACCACGTTAATAAAAGTCATCAAATGTTTAGAATTTGCCAAAATCTAGAAACCATGCACATAACAATTCTTCAGGTTTAGCAAGCAATGTCATCATTTTCATATACAGTCAAATGCCTTAAATCTTTCTTAAAAGTAGTGCCATGAAGCTTCCACCAAAAGAAAAGAAACAAAAATTTACTTAGTTTTCAAAAGTCTATCGACTGATCTTTTTAAGATATATATGTAGCAAGTATATAACAAATTTTTTGCAATTATAAATCATCAGTTTTGCACCAAAGTGTTGTGTTAATGTTTCAATACCAAAACATTTTACCCACTTAGTATACGTTTTAATTCTGAAAACAGCCCGAAATATGATGAAGAGGCAGGTTGATCTAATTATGTAATAAATTATTTTGATCAGAAAGTCTTAAACTTTGCAGAAATACACCTTATGCCAATTCACCAGTATAAGCAATTTCTCCTGAAAATATTACACCACACTTAACCATAGTGTACCAATGCAATATAACTATAACAGAACATTAAATAATGCTGCAGACAAAAATTAAGTTCCAATCCCCCTACATCATTTGTAACAGAATGCTGGCCACCTCAATCTGGCAGTGGAAGTGGGAAGAAGTTATCTTTGACCAAATTAGAAACAAACCTTACAGATCTGGAGGCATACATCAATAACATCCAACTGAAATTGACTTGTTTCTTGAATAATCTACATTCTTCAGTTATTAGCCTTACCTACAAATTGGGCTTCCCCCCCCTCCCGCACTCTTTTTTAGCTGCATATTTATTAAGCACACTATTAAAACTTTTAATATTTCAGTAGCTTGTTTCTCAACATGGCTTTCCGAGAGTAACCAATGGATAAAGGTATACATCACAATATTAACGTTACGGCCGGAAAATTCTGTATAGAAGACTGCCTTCTATATTCAATACAAATGAAAATTTCTGCTAGCTTTCAATGTATTTGATTTCAGTTTGGATGTATATTGGAAGAAAAGGAATCAAGGTACAAAATGAGAGATTCATTTTTTAATTAAAATCAAGAAAATACCACTTATTCATGACATTTTGAGGAACTTTGAAATTTCAGGGCTAAACTCTTAACGCTCGGAGGGTTAAATATTTCTATCATCAACAGGCAATTATGGAAATCTTGTTAAACACAGATTGAAATACATAAATGAAAAATGACTTCCTTCATGGAGCTTGAATGTAGAACAAACCTTGAAAATACATCATTAGTCATCATGAAGCTATGAAAGATATAAAACAGATATCATGAAAGACATAAAAATGAAGCTATGAAAGAGACTAAACATAAAAATAATCAAGGGAAAAACACTCTGAATCAGAGCTATCTTCAATAGATCGAATTTCAGAACACTGAAAGAACATAATAGATGGCATCCAATTTTATTTAAATATATGGAACTATTCCATTTTGAGGACCATAAAAAAAATTGCAGCAAAAATGTATGTGCAAAAGAACCAAATCTAGCAAACGCGCCCATTTAACAACGCGCCAAAATCTTGCGTAAGTTTACATAGTTCTATATTTCTTAAGACTCCATTGAAATATTAGTTTAATTTTTAAATCCTTTTTAATTTTTAAATCCTTTTTTGATTTTAAATCCTTTTTTGATATCCTATGGATTTAAAAATTTGGGAATTGCCCATGATGAAAAGTTTGCTATAGAATTTTGGGTAAAGTGCAGAACCACCCACTGCTTGATGTGTTTTTAAGAATTGCACATACTCGGTATCCATGTACAATTCGACCTATTTTCACTTCAAAAAAAAATCCCGGAATTGCACAAAAATGGCACTGTGCACACCCTTGACTATCTATAAATCCCAGAACTGCACAAAAATGGCACCCTTTATCTATGTACACATCGACTTATTTTCACTTAAAAAGTAAAAGAAAATTGCCGAAAATCTAATTGTTTTTACCCTTGTAAAAAGCGGCAAACAAATAAGTGGGCGATTCTGCACTTTACCGAGAATTTTTTCAAAGAAAAGGCATCATTCATTATAGGAAATTATGTTTGAACAACCAACGAGATGAAATTATGCTTTAGCGATAACTCAGTAGCGAAATAGCGATGCAGGCATCCATTCAGTTATGTTTAGCAATTTTTATATAAATTATAATAATGATATAAAATAGTTATTTACTCTTATGCTTCCATTCAGTCATGTTTAGCCTTTTTTATATAAATTATAATACTCAAAAAGTATTACATGAAATTAACCTTTCATCTAAATTAAAACATCAATCTTACATAGTTATTTACTATATACTTCCTTTCTTGCGTTAGGGTTGCCGCAATTATTTTTGGCAGCACTGGCATCAACAATAGTTTGGCAATTTTACGGCCCTCAAAACCGAATAGTACCAAATATATTAATTAAAAATTGAAGTCAAGCAAGTAAATTAATAAGGCATGACATGTTAGCTACAATTAGCAGAATCCAAGAGAACAATGAAACTGGTGTACAGATTAATTAAAGTAAACCACTGATTACACCGAGTGTAATCGGTGTAAGTACAGATTAATTAAAGTGTTTTAACCAATTTAAATATATTGTCTTCAGTGGCAATAATTAAATTAAAGGCCAGCACCAAAAGAGATTACAGAATCTACAAGAACGTTCTGCTAGCTACAAAGACAGTTTCTGCAATAAAAGGAAATATACAGAAATGAGACTAAAAATCGAGAGCTGTTCTGTTCAAATGGAAGGAAATAAATGATAAACTTCACACTGTTGAATTAAAATAGAGAACCTTTCAAAGATATGAACAGTCTCAAATTAAATTCATCAAATAAGGAATATTTTAGACAACTCTGACAAAAAAAATTTTTTTTGTTTACCAACTTGCAATGTTATGCAACAAATGATTTGTTTTCTTTTCCCAAACATATGAAGGCTGAATGAAAAATTTTAAAGATGCCTCTGTTGCCTCTCTCTCTCTATATATATATATATATAATATTAGATATAGAAATCGTGCATATTAGGTTTTGGAATGGAAATACATTTATGTGTCTGAATCCGCAGTTAGACAGTCGTGACTTTCAGTATTTCATCAGTGAAAATTCCATTGCTCAGCCTTTCCACAACTTTGCCAACAATGAACAATGAAAAATGAAGATATCTCTGTGAAAATATAGCAAAAGTTTGAATTTTGTGTTAACTGAAGCAGTAATGAAATACATGAAATGTTAAAAACATGCATATGGTAGGGAAATATTTTGCCATGTTTCAGTATTTCAGTGGCAGAAGAGGGACATCAAAGACAGTAACATGAGTGATTGATGAAGGCAAATTCTATAAGACTATCTACTGTCATAATGGTTGCACCAGTTCATGGGCAAAGAATGGGGGCTATTATGTAACCATATCTTCAAAACCAGTTGCTTGGTCCCAAGAGGAAGAAAAGGTCAGATTTGCTTAAAAAATAACACTTTTTCTTTAGGAGAATGCCCAGCCATCTGTTGTTATTATAAAATTAACAGCACACTCAGAAACTGATGGGGTAGCATTAGAATATCCTTCATACAACCCAGACATCTGGATTTAAAGCTCAGAAATAATAAAACTTTCAATAATAAAAAGACAACTACTCTGAATAATGCTTCAAAGGTGAGAAACAACACCATGCAGCACTGCTAAAATAGATGCCACAAAACAGAATATTTTATGCTTTTAATCATTCATAAAATGCTGTGAAAAAAATTCGTAATGTACTCTACTGAACTATATTCTGTGAAAAAATTTGTAAAAGATTCTATTTAAAAAATAATTAAATAAAAGTTCTATAGAATCATCTGATTCTGAATAAGAGAGTTAGTCTGAAAATGTTTCAATCAGCCTTAGTGAAATTATCCATTTCATGTAGAATTTGAAATCGATGTATGACAAACCTGTGCTAGTAAGTAATGTTATAAATTTTTTGAGAATTCCTTCTTAAAATAAGATCTTTAAGAACTGAATTATATACTAATACAGGATAGTAGAATAATATAAAAGTTAAATTTACTTAATTGTACATGTAATTTGTATCAAATGGAGGGATATATAAGAACAATGACTAAAATCTTACAAATATTTTTAGAAAAAGATTTCTCTCCATTAGACTTCAAGCTTTCTTAACTGCTTAGACAATAATATTGTTATGAATTTTGTATTTAGATAGTTAACTAATTTTTATTTTATAGAATTTTGTATTTAGTATTTAGTAGAACCATAATTAAAACTGCTGTATTTCCCCACTGGAAAGCAGCATGAGACAAATCTTAAGAGAAAGCTATGGCAGAAAAGTAAGAATACAGGAGCACAAGCCTATGGTTACCTTAGTAATTTGAATTAAATTGAATAAATTTAATTGACCGCCGTGTTAGCTGTAACCATAACTGAATTCTCTTATTGCTTTCCAGAAATCTTGAGAAGCAGAAATTACTAGAAATTTCTCGCAACTGGTTGAAAACTATAAAATGCCAGAGAGAGAGCATCTGAGCTCAGTTGCTTAGTGACTGTTGTTGCGAGTTCTTATTTCCATGTGAAATGAGAAATCTGGGTTAGCTTTCTCTTTAGATGTATTTTGTATTGCCTTGCGTTTAACGTTTTTAGTAGTTTCAAGTATAACTACTGATTAGATTGTGTGATATTGTGAACATTTGTATGACTACCTCTGAGGAAAATTCCAGAGTTCTGATATACTTCTGTTGATAAAAATAAATTTTATTAACCTATTATTGGATTTGTGCATTCAATCTATTACAAACCCATATGCACACAATAATATTAAATAAGAAGCCTTTGTCGAGTACAATATCTCCCAAAAAGTTGAGTTCCTGATCAAAAAGTAACTTAAACCAGAGGGCACAACTCAAAATGCATAAGGGGTGATTACAATAGCTCTAAGAAGTTAAGTTCCTGATCAAAAAGCATTTTAGATCAGTGGTCTCAAACTCAAATTGCATACAGGGCAAGCGCATAATCTAAAAGCAGCCCACACGACGAATTTTGTATTTACTTTTTTTAATCAGAATGAATATATCTATGTATCTATATAAAAAATTTAATTCCATGATTCAGAATTCCTCCCTAGATGAAGGTTACTATTTCATTATTACTTCCATAATCTTACCCATTTGGAGACTTTTGGTGCCTTATTTACAAGCATTTTCAGCCTGCATAAATTTGCTCCAAAGGTCAAAAGTGATTCACTAGCCACCAGTATGAGACCACTGAAATTAACAACCCATGAAAGCACAAAAGTAAAATGATGCCATACTTTGTTTGGTAGAACAACGTTCTGAATTGTCTGATGTTGAAGGGATAAAAAGACATAAAATATCACGAAGAAGATGGAAGCTAGACATTTTGAATTGAAAAGTAAGCTGAATAGCAAGATTAAACTCATAACTGATACATCCCCAGATCAATTATCTTTACTGGCATTAAAAAAAAAAAAAAAAAAAAAAAAAAAATTAAATTTCGTGGAAATATGAATCCAGAATAAAAAATTTAGTTTAAATGATTTTGATTAAAAACAGTGCACATTAATATCCCTCACAATAAAATTTAAAGGACTCATGGCTTTGCCTTCAGTAAGGCAACAATAACTGTTTTCAGAAAACTTAAGAGTACCTTTCACAGGCACATTAACCACTTAACAGTTTTGCCCAAGTACCAGATGTGTGCTGGGAAAAGGAGACTTCTCTGCTTTGGCCATATACCTTTCAGGCAGTATTTTTTTCTACACCAATTTGCTGATTTGCTTGGCTTTTTCACTTTTCATACTTTGCAATGTTTCTGATAAATGTCTCCAGTAGCCCAGGTGACTGAATTGAAAAACCAGTTCAAAGATTTTCTGATAAATGTCTCTAGTAGCCAGGAGACTGGATTGTAAAACCAGTTCAAAGATAGGTTTTATTGCTTTTATTTAGGCTATGTCTAGGCTCGAAAAAGAATGACAGCGGAAAACGTGTCAGAAAAAAAGCCAAATATTTTTGTCCCGATTGTGATATCAGACTCTGATTACCTCCATGTTTGAAAACATATTTTTGTCCCGATTGTGATATCAGACTCTGATTACCTCCATGTTTGAAAACATATCATACCAAAGGTGAATTTTGAAAAGAAATAAAGTAAGTATTTAAAAAAATATTTGTTTTTCTGTCTCCTGTAAAGTGTTCTTTCTAGTTCTGCACCTACGTCAGAAAAAAGCCAAGTTTAAGTAAAAATGTCTTATTTCGCCATAATTAAAAATTATCTTAAATTAATAAATGCAATACTTTAAAAAATTTTGACAGCTGATTTGAATTCGTGTAATCAATTTGAATTCAAAACTGTTAATAAAAAATATGCTTATTTTTGGTTACAATATGGCAGGAAAATAAAACTGGTAAGTGAACACAACAAAGACTTAGCATCAAATGAAAACATGGGGAAATAATTCAAAAATGATATCTTTTATTTTATAACTGAAGGTTATGTTACATAAATGAAAAATAATAAAAAAATTTAAATGAGATAATTGCTTCTTTATTTTTTATTACTTTTTTATATATGGATAAAAAGACATTCTCATCAGAAATGAAATAAAAATGTGATAATTCGGCAAAGTATTAGCATACTAACTAATTTTCAATGAAACTGGATAATTCAAACTTCTTTGTCTTCCACTCAATTAAAATTTATGAAGTTTAAATCAACAAACATTTAAATAATACAACTACAAACAAACAAAAATATTTAAAATATCAAAATGTTTCTTTTTGCAACAGCATACCTTTATAATTCTTGACAGTGTTGTGCTGCCATATAATTTTATATTAACTAATAATAAAACTTTTTTTACTTTTTATAAAATCAAAAATAGTATTTAAGATTTTGTAGCAAAACATTCCAACTTCAATAAAAAAAGTGCCATGCATACGTTGAGTAAAAAAACTATGAATAAATACCTTCCATTTGAAAGCAAGAAGAAGGCAATAGCAGTTCCAATAACTTCTTGCATATCAGAGCCAATAATAGCAATTTCAACCATAATCCATAATAAATAACGTGGGACGGCAGGAAACCTTCGATGGCAAACTTCTGCAAGATGTAAACCAGTCACAACACCAAGTCTAGCTGCCAGGCGCTGCATTAAAAGACCCAAGAATGTTGCCCACATAAGAATCCACAATAATTTAAAACCTGCAACTGCACCAGACTGCAGATCTGATTCTATATTTCCTGGGTCTAAATATGCAATGCTCATCAAAAATCCAGGTCCTGTGAAAGCCCATAATTTCCTAAAGCTGAATCTATACTAAAAGAAAAATGAAAAACCAAGATTATAAATATATATATTTATACACACACACACACATATATTATTAATTACGAAAAAGAAACTTTTTATTTATCAAGAGAGAAAACAAGCAAAATGAAAGAAGAGCAAACAAAAAAGGAGAAGTTTCCCAACTGAGAATATTAATTTCTTAATAGTATGACTGGTGATATGAGAGCAAGGCAAACTTCAGAAGCATACTCATTTTAATAAAATTTATCTGTTTTAAGATGCACAATGAGTAATACAGCAAAACTTACAGAATAATACAAAAGTTGCTCTGACATAAATTTACAAAAATATTTTAATAAATAAAACTATGGACATCATCAGAATTTTTTTATTATGAGACTGTTTCAGTATTGGGTATATTCAAATAATCCACACAATGCTAATTAAATACAAAAAACATTCTGGAAATTGCTGCTATTCCAGAGATGCTGCTGTTACAAGTTTTTGCCCATATATGCTGTCACATTTATTTATGCAAACATGGTAGTGGCCTGTAAATCACAACATTCATAAGCAATTTCTATGAAAAGAGAATTATTGAAGTATGCTCAATTTTATTTGTGCAATTTCATTTGTTCAAAAAATTTTTGTAAATATGTATATGTTAAAGTTTTTGGATTATTCTATATTTATGTATTTCATACGATTTGAGAGTCATATTTGATTGACTGTCTTAATTAAACCATTCAACACCACACCAACGTTCACTACCTGCCATTTTTCTTCTTTCAGTCATAGAAATACAAATATATCATCACAAATTATCCTCCAAAATGTTTAAAATGTTTCATATCAGCATTTAAATAAACCTTCTCAACATTGTGATTGGCTGTGATATATGATATTTGCATACTGCCATCTGCATGCAGAATAATTTCAGGTATGCTTCTGAAAATTGCTAATTTACATCACATGCTCAATTTCTGGAAGATTGTGTATTACCTACTTATAAGAAACATTATTTTAAAATTACAAGCTGTAACTTTCAAGAATCAATAAACAAGTTCTTTGCATTTTACAATCAACTTATCAATTATTAAAGATACTAGGTAAAAAAATTTTCATCAACAAATTATTGCAAAAATTAATTTTCAAATTTAAATGATTTGCACAGATATATTTATATATATTTATATAAACATACATTATCACTTTCAGGGATGGCAATTCTTTCTTGAAAATAGGTATCAATTACTTTTTCCTTTAAATTTGTTTCTTCACTCACAGAGGATGATGGTTTTTGTTCATCCATACTGTATTTGCCTATAAAATAGCATTGAATAAAGAAAAAATATCATATAATATTAAAAATGAAATTTAAAACATTAAAGTGTTTCTTTTAAGCATATGGTTAAAAAAATGGTTCCCTTCCTATTTTATTTAAATCAGGCAGAAAATTAAATAATCTGCTTAAATACTGAAAAGTTAATGTTAATAATTGATTAATTAAGCAGAATATTTACTTTTAATATAAAAAAAGATTGCTTATAAATTACTTTTAATATGAAATGCAAAAAGAATAAGATATTTAATTTCTCACAGTATGCCTATCAGTACTGGAAAATGAAATTTCTCAAACCAAATTCTCTAAAATCTAAATGAATAAAACAAAATGCAGAATACCTGCTTAAAAAATAAAACTATTCTGAAAAATAATTTCTGCAACCCCTTTGCAATAAGTAACAAAAATAAAATATAAAACATATAAAAGCTTGTAAGAAGGCACCTAAATAAAAGTTGTAAGTAAAATGAAAGAATATACAACATCATCTTAGTTAAAATGCACTGGTTATCATAAATTAAGGAAAAATCACAAAAATAGCGATAACTCCCTCAAAAATAAGTCAAACCGTGTAAAATTTGAATATGTTGCCAAGTAAGAACAGCTGAGTAAAACTGCGATATGCAATTTAGTGGTGCTGCTTTCAGAATATATCATCTGCAAGGAGCATAAAAGTCCATGTTTAAGAGCAGGCCCACATATTTCACTGTGACAGTGACATCAGAAATCTGAGATAGCCAATTCGTAACAATGACCTCCAGGCATCATTTGCCTGCAGAACTACGATGGAGAGCCATTGGGAGATTAGAGGCAAGATAAAGTCAAACAGAAGTGGCCAGATAGCTAAATGTGACTCCTTCTGTGGTTCATAGACTTTGCAGGCGATTTCAAACTACAGATTCGGCACCTAAGAGGTTCAGCCAAGCACGGCTAACTGCTACGAGCGCCGATGACCGATATTTGACTATTGTGCAAGCAGGAATAGAATCGCTACTCCGACTCTTCTTAGATCCTAATTTGTTGCAGCCTCTAGAGGACTGGTGTCAACGTCAACTGTGCGTAGAAGGCTTCACGAAGGTGGTCTGTATGTAACGCGATCAGCCATTGAGCCACTTATGTCACGCCATAGGAGGGACCGTTTTCAGGGAGCACGACAACATGTCCACTGGATGCCTGATCAATGAAGGGCAGTTCTCTTTACGGAGGAGTCTAGAAAGCGATAGCAGGCGTTACTTGATATGGATGTCAACTGTGTGTAAAAGGCTTCACGAAGGTGGTCTGTATGCGAGGCAACCAGTCATTTGTGTGCCGCTCACATCACGCCATAGGAGGGACAGTTTTCAGTGGGCACGACAACATGTCCACTGGACGTCTGTTCAATGGAGGGCGGTTCTCTTTACAGAGGAGTCCAGGTTTAGTCTAGAAAGTGATAGTAGGCATTATTTAATATGGAGATAACTTAGAACCTGCTATCATCCCTCAAACATCCGTGAAAGAGATGCATACGGAAGGGGCAGTGTCTGTGTTTGGGGTGGCATCTTTTTGGGTGGACGCACAGACCTCCATTTCTTTCCAAGTGTAACCATGAATGCTCAGATTTAAAGAGATGACACCCTTGATGTTTATGTGCGCCCATATGCCGGGACAATAAATGATGCTTTCCTGTTTACAGGACGACAACGCAAGAGCACACAGGGCTCACATCGTATATGATTATCTTCAACAGGAAACAATTATGCGCATGGAGTGGCCAGCTCGATCCCCAGAATCCTATCGAGCATGTTTGGGATGTTTTAGGGAGATGTCCAGCTGCTCTCAATCTGCCCTCTCAAACCCTTGTCACGCTTGCAACTGCTTTTCAAGAGCAATGGCTCTCGCTTCCTATGGAACTGATAGACCGCATAATTGAAAGCATCACACATCGCTGTATGTGCTGTATTGCTTCTAGAGGCAATCATATTTCATATTCAAGGTACTTTTCCTATAGCAAACTGACACCTTCGATTTGTGCATTTTATACATGTGCTAATTTCTATACTACCATATTTGTCTGGTAATTTCTTTTTATGTTATTTGATACCTTACTATGTGTTGTATATTGTGGGAAGTTTCATTAAATTCTACACGTAACTTTTTCAGTAATCGTGATTTTTGCGATTTTTCCTTATTTGTGATAACCAGTGCACATGATGATATTAAATTTCTACTGATATTTATACAATATACTGGCCAATTCAAACAAAAAGCAGCTATAGAATAAAAACACATACAAAAAGAATCTGAATAAAGACTTCAATTCAAAGTACAAAAAACTTATAAAAAATTTTCCATTCATTCAACATAAGTTTTTCACTTTAATTATATATTTTTATTCAATAATTAATAATAAAGAAAAGAATCAGTACTCAGTATCAGCAGTTAAAAAGAAAAAATACAATTATTATAAATGTTTATTGCATGTTTATTACTCAACAATACATCAAATTCAGGGCTCTATCAGTGGCTGAGTGGTCAAACCGCTAAATGCTGATAGGTTCCAAACCCAGGCAAACAAACAGCTGCATGTTCTAAAAGGACGGTTAGTACTGTTTTCACAGTTAACAAGGGACGGGTTGATGTCATTTTCATAGCTGATTGCATAAAGCTACTCAAGGATATTCTGCATAAAAGAAGGGACACCTTCAGAAAGGATCTTTAAAGGAAAATTGATTTATCTTCACATTACCCATAAGATAGATAATGAAAATCCACATGCAGCCAGCCTGTTCACTGAAATTTGAATCCCAGTAAGACTTCCAATGTTCATTATTAACCATATGGTCACTGGTGGAAACGAGAAATTAATAAAAATGTATCTTGACATTTTGCTTCAAGGATTAAAATTAAGTTAAAAAAATTCAGTACTTTCTGACTACCCACACCCCCTTAAAAAATCACCAATGAGGCAACTTCCTGAGTTGTTGAGGGTAGGGGGTACTATTAATAAATAATATTAAAAACAAGCATTTATACAAAAAAAAAAAAAAAAAAAAACAAGAAATTTTATGAGAAATCATAAAATTCTATATAGGGAATATTATTTACTATGGTTACTGTTTAGGGAAATGGTTAAATATAAAGCTTGTAAATCCACATGTACTCAAACATGAGTGTGTTATGTGCATGCACAGTTCAGTGTTGTCACGTGTATACTAAAAGATGCACCAAAAACAAGAAAATTTTACAGAATGTTGAAACTGAGAGTACCAGAAAGTACCCACATATCTAATGACATGCAAAAAAAAAAAAAAAAGTATTGTATTTCTAAACTATATTAATAATACTACACAGTATTTTAGTTCCTAACAGGCCAAAGGATTAGTTATCAAATGAATTCTACCCTATAAATTTCCACATCAGAAAGAAGCACATGTCACTTAACTGCAGTAAAAAGGACAGAGATCAAACGCTAATATTTCAACTCATATTTTATAGCAGTTCATTGTACCATCTATCTATCCTTTTATCTAATATCATCTTCAAGATAATACCTTTTACCTATATTCCCATTATTTATCTACTAAATTTATTTAGTTACAGTCAACATGGCCAACCACAATACCGGTTGAGTGGCAGTAATAATTGTACACAATACCATTGCATAAAAGCAATCCTTACACATTTTAGGCCTTACATAAATAAAAAACAATAATAATAAGCACCTATTTTAGTCAGCCAGCATTCCCAAGAGCTGTTTTATATCTATTCTACCTTACACAAATTCTCTTCTTTGAATTAAATAGTAAATCTATTTAATTTAAAGAAGTCTGCTTTCTTAACTTTTTTTAGAGTTTTTAAGAATAGTTTAAAGTTTCCAAAAGAGGATAAGTCACAACTAGTTTATAAGAATTTCTAATATTTTCTGATTATCCGTACCTCCATGAAAAGTTGACACATCATTGGTACCTTTGTAAATTGATGAAAAAAGGTTTATCCGGCCAACTTTATATTTTAGAGGTTCGGTTGTGTTCATAAATACACAACCGAACCTCTAAACTGGTTCTTGCATTTTTTGATTAAAAGAAGGATTTGCTAAGAAACAAGAAATTTCAAGGGGGGGGGAATAGGAATCTATGTCACTGACATTTATATTTTTACACCCAATGAATATGATTCAGCAAAATGATGACTAATTACAAAGCTATAAAATCTACATCAACTTAAACATGTGTGTGTAGTATGCACATACATGAGTTGGTCATTGTGGCATAAATATTTACAAATATGCCAAAAACAAAGCAATTTTATCCCAGTTACAACCAGTAGTGTGAAATGAGAAAGTATGCAAATTTCTTCTGCACGAAAATCTAAAGCTTTAAGGAAACAGACTGACAGTAATTTCTTGCACCTACATCAGTTCAACAATTTTCAAGTCAGTCTCTTATCTAAACTAATGAACTAAGTGGAAGAAAAATTAAACTATTAAAATGAATGAACTATGAAAACTGAATGACTAATGCAGTACTTTCCAGTCTTTTTTATGTCATGGCATATCTCACAAGTATAATTTCTTGCTGTATCTCATAAGTATACATACTAATACCAGAACACATCATAAAGGAACATTTTTCTATTAACATGATTAATTTCTTGAATTTCATACCAGGGATTAAGATCTTCCTTCCAAATGTTTTTGCTTACATTACCAAATAAATACACTTTCATTAAATTCTAGGTTTCCTACTTTCGTGACACAGCATTCTGCCTAGTGATTCTTATCAGGGCTGGGCAGAGATTATCAGACAGTATTCCATTTTTTATCATCTTTCTAAAGTTGAGTTTTCTTTTTGAATAAATTAATTTTGTCAATACAAGTTAATATATTCTCAAGTGGTTCTTGCATTTTTCGATTAAGATTATTTAGGTAGTCATTTATATCATCAAAGTAGGCTATTTTTGCAATCAGTAATTGTGTTCTGGCTCAGCTGCATATAAACAGCTATCCTCAGAAATACTTTTAGTTCTTTAAACTCATGAAAACTGAACAGAACTATACTTCTCGACATCCAGCAAACTTCAGTATAAGAACAAGAACAACTGATGCTCTGATTCCCTTTTTATCACATAAAATTGAAAAAGATATGATAAAAATGGCTATCTTTGACTCCATTCACCCTTTCTATAATATCATTAAATGCTATCTTTAATTCTAGAGGTAGACTATTTGATATGAGAGCTTCTCTATAAATAAAGCAAAATATTAGAATATCAGGATTTTCAGACTATGCCTCGGATGCCAAGCCTCTGACCCTTCCATCACTGCAGCCACATCAATACATAAATCTCTGCAATTTTCTCTGCAAAGTTTTGCTTGTATCAATATTTTCATTGATCACATCCTAGTCTTGCTGTACTTTTACCCAGTTGTACTGATGTACTGTTTTTCCAGTTTTGTTGCCCAGGAATTAACAGTTAAATGTTGTTAGACCCATTTTCATGGCGCATTAGTGGGGACCTAATGAACTAAGAGAAAACATACACACACACATACACAAGACATACTACTTTATCTTTCAGCTAAATTATTGCACCTTACCTGTTCTTTTGAGAGCAGGTGATGGTGGATCAGGATTATCCATGCATAACAGGAGGGGTCTGAAAACAATAAATAAAGGTTTTTTGAAAGAATTAATATATTAATTACATCCCAAATAATGCATTTAAAATTTTAAAACTGTAAAAGTAAATGCAAGTAAAAGAGCAGGGCTTAATGTCCAAAATTAGAAGTGCCGAAGCCCTATGAGAAACTATGAGGAACAAAAGAAAAAATAAACAAAATAGCTAAAATAATTAAATTTAAATTAAGAGAAATGTAAAGTGATAAAGAGAAATCTTTTAAATTATTAATTTTAAATAGTTAAATAGAAAAACAAATATTGGACCTTGCAGTGGCGTAGCTAGAATTCCAGCAACCGGGAACAACAGATGAATTTGCGCCCCTTTTCTGTGTGCAAAGAATAGAAAACATTTCATTAAAAAATTTCGTAGCATCAATTTGGCGCCGCTTAGATGCTGCGCACAGGGACAGGTGTCCCATCTTGCCCCACCCTAGCTATGCCACTGGGACCTTGTCTTATTTCAGGCATTGGCTGGAATTACCATTCCACTTAGAAGTAAGAAGCACCTTAACCGCTTGCTTGATTATCCAGAGTTATCTCAGGTTCGTATATATTGCAGTTAATTATTATCCCGAGAAAACTCGGGCGAAGCAGAATTTGTTAGTACGATTTCTTTTATCACGATTTTACTCGGTCTGGAGGAAATGAAAGGAAATATTCAGCTTTGATTGGCAGTTTGCCAAATTTTGTTGGTTGTGCAGTTCTTTTGGAGGGACTGGTCGCGTGTTTCCCTATTGTATAGTATACGTTGGCTTGTGGATTAGTAATGTATAAAGGATGCATGCGTTGGGAAAAAAATAAAATAATGTCGATGATGCAAGATAGCGAAAGCGATGATTTTTCAGATAGTGATTATGAAGAGGTGGGGGGAAAAAAACCAAATCCAATGAGACAGTGAGCTGTGCTCCCGTGAAAGAAATTCCAGCGGTAAGCCAGTAAAAGAGACCAGATACCAGTGTATAATGTCAGGTATCACTCTGTGTTGTCCCTTGTTTCAAAAACAATCATACAAAGATTAATATTTAACTATTTTCATTTGCCCGAGATAACTCTGGATAGTAAACTAATATTAAAAATAAATGCTTTTACACCTTCAAAAAAATTAAAAATTCAATTTAAAACCTACATATTTTGATTTGTTTTGTTTTGTTGTATTTAATAATAAAATTTAAAAAATTGATGATTTTTTGCAATTTTTTTCAAAAAAATTTATAAGGGAAGCAGTTAACCGATCTCCATTTAAGCCTTGATTGCATGCATAATGTACTATTCAAGGGATGACAAGTACCACTCTTTTTTTGCAGCACACCAAGGAAAAAAGATAAAACCATTAAAGCTTCACTAAGGAGAATAGTGAGAATTCTAGAAACAGTATGAGGATATGGGAGGAAATTTAAATGGAAAAGTGTAGCTTTGAAAATAAAAGGGGAAAAGTTCAAGACTTTCTAACCACAATGCTTTGTCGATATAATTCTAACCATCAAGCTGAAATTTTCCCTGAATACGACTTGGTAAGAACATGAGAATAAATACAAGATTTCTCAGTACAAGTGGCAGCAGTGGTCCCCCCATTTGGTTACATCATTCAGAAAGTCTATTAGGATGCTTCTACCATGGAACGTGCACAACCACGGCATCACTCTTAGTATAGTTCAACCCTTTGAAGCTCAAGCCTGGTTGGTGTTCTGCCAAAACACAGAGACTTGTCCTCTGTGCAAGGCTTGAGTGCAAAGTAAAAATAAGCCTGCATTTTTAAGTTAGAATTGATTTTTAAAAAATATTTACCATTAAAACATTTATCTTTTAAAATTGTGGTTCACTTACATAAAAGAAATACTGGAGTCTCCTATGCGCTCTGACTGAAATTATAATTTATCTTGAAAACTGAGACGTACCGGAACCGAGTTTCAGCGCAATTTAAGCTCTCTAAAAGAGTATACAGCAACGATGAAAAATAATTTTAATTACAAGTACATTCCAACTTACTTATATCAGTAAGCCTCCCTCAGTATCCAAAGATACAAATAATATACTTAGTTCTGCGATATGTGAAGCCTGAAAAATCGCAACTTCGAGCTGTACTATTTCGAATTATGCTTTACCAAAAGTGAGAAATTTATAAATTGTTAGGTAAAAATAGGTACAACGTTAGGTAAATTGTTAGATAAAATTAGGTACAACAAAAAGTTTCTAGAAGAATACAGAATGTGCCCTATTCTGATAATGATGATTCATCAAGCATATTCAGTCATTTTGCTGTACAGTGGTACCTCGATATACGAGTTTAATTCGTTTCGTAACCTTGCTCGTATGTCAAATTGCTCGTATCTCAAAGCAACTTTCCCCATTGAAATTAATTGAAATGCCATTAATCCATTCCTGCTCCCAAACACCACCTCGGTTGTTTTTCTTAAGTGTTTTTGAATAAGAAAATGTATTTACAAGAAGAAACATTTATTTATAAATAACAAATACATATTCTATAAAAACATAATTAAAAGGAAAAAGCGCTTACGGAAGTGCTTAATTTTTGTCACTGGTCTTCGCTTTTCGTCACGCTTTGCTCATTTTCACCTGCAGATCATTTAAAATAACTGTCCAAGGAGGTTTGTTTCTTCCTCCCTGTCAAAGCATTGCGGAAATGTTGTTGAACAACTCCGATGCACAACCAGTTGCAACTTTTTCGTGGTGATTTTTATCCATGAACATTACAACTTTCTCTCACATTCTCGAGATCTGTTTTATACCTCTTGTAGGGATAACCTCCTCCATCTCTGGCTCCTCTTCAAAACAAATTTTTCGTTGAACCACCGTATGCTGCTGCGAATGTAGATTGTGTAACTCCTCGGTTGTCAGCTCCAGAGACCGTTCCTCGAAGAATTCGTTTACATCTCTCTCATCCACCTCCAGACTCATGGATTTCCCAGAGAAACAATCTCCTCTACCACTGACATTTCGGGTTCCAATCCTTTGAAGGCCTTTTCAGCTACAGCCTCAGGCCACAGCTTCTTCCATGCAGAGGTTAAGGTGCTCGTTGTAACACCCAACCAAGCCTGACCAATAATTCTTAGGCATATCCCAATATTAAAGTGGTGCTTCCAGAACTCTCGAAGGGTAAGGTTTGTGTTCTCCGTCACCTCAAAGCAGCGCCAAAAAATGTGACTTCTTAAAATTAGAAATCACCTGCTGATCCATGGGCTGCAGGATAGGAATGGTGTTGGGTGGTAGGTAGAGAACTTTTATAAACTTGAATTCTTCGAGTAAATCATCTTCGAGATTTGGTCGGTGAGCAAGGACATTATCGAGGACGAGAAGGGCTTGCATGGGTAGGTTGTTTTTCTGTAGATATTTTTTAACAGAAGGGCCAAACACCAGGTTTATCCAATCTACAAAAAATTTCCTGGTGACCCACGCCTTCGGATTTGCCCTCCATATAACTGGCAGTTTTTCTTTTAAAATCTTATATGACTTAAAGGCTCTGGGATTTTCCGAATGGTATACTAGCAGAGGCTTGATTTTGCAGTCGCCACTCGCATTGGCGCAAATTGCTAGAGTTAATCTATCCTTCATGGGTTTGTGACCTGGCATCGTTTTCTCCTCTGCCGTTATGCAAGTTCTATTCGGTATCCTTTTCCAGAAAAGCCCTGTCTCATCACAGTTGAAGACTTAATGGGGGGATGTACCCTTTGGCTTCTATCAGTTCAGAAAACACTTTGATGTAAACCTCAGCTGCCTTCACATCCGAACTTGCTGCCTCACCATGCCTGACAATGGAGTGAATGCCAGTCCTTTTCCTAAAGTTGTCAAACCAGCCCCGACTGGCTTTAAACGAGTCTTCTGATTCTTCGTTTGTGGAAGTGTGTGATGTCTGCTTCAGCAAATCACCGTAAATTGCTTCTGCCTTCTCACATATGATGCTTTGTGTTAAGGTTCCTCCTTGAAGCTGCTTCTCTGTCCCCCACACCATCAGTAGTTTCTCCATCTTTTCATGGAGAGAGGTCCAGAGCTTAGAAATTATTGTAACGCCCTTAGCTGACATTATACTCTTTATCAACTCCTTCTGTTTAAGCATAGTACATATTATAGATGTGCTACGCCCGTACATCCTCGCTAAGTCAATTACTCGCACACCTTGCTCATGGTTTTCTAAGATTTCATGCTTTAATTCAATAGCACTCAAGATTTCATGCTTAATTCAATACTTCTTCTTTGGACCCATGGTTATAAATATAAATGTGATAAAGTTTTGTAAATGTACAAAAAGTAAAAAACGTGAACCCAACTTATCAAAAATGCTTTGAAAACAAGGGAAACAAGCACGCAGACTGAGGTCTAGTCTGAGGTGGGAGAAACTGTTAGAAGCTGCACATAACACCAACATGCGCACGCATGTTGCAGTCGTGTGCAGCGGTGTAGTGTGTGATTCCTTGTATCTCAAATCTTGCTCTCATCTCAAAGCAAAACATCGCTCACTCGTATCTCAAAACACTCATATGTTAGGGCACTCATATGTATATCGAGGTACCACTGCATATGTATTTATTCAATATATTATCCAATGCATACATGAAAGCACTATCAGCACTTATGAATTCTATTTTCTCTTTTATTAATTTCTTTTGTAATTTTCCTCATTGTATTTGAAATTCCATTTGAAAAGCATGTATCAATAATATTAACTGAATTAAATATTCACAGTGCAAACAAAGAAAGGAAATATCTGTGTAAAACATTAGAAAAATAGTCTTCAATTCGCTTCTTGTTCAACACTGCTTAAATCAAGGGCATTTGAGGCAGACAGCTTTCATAAGCTCTACCAAAATTGAAGAAGAAAGGATATACAGTCAAAAGTCTTTAATCCGGATGTCCATAATCCAGAATGATCTATAATCTGGACCTCGAAGCTACAAACTTTCTGCGCATGCATAAACGCATAATGTGTTTACACATGCCCATAATACCTTTACGCATGTGCAT